CTACCTATACAGAAATCATTGAAGCGATTAATAAATTCAAATAACTAATATTGCTTTAGGTGTTGAAAATCAAATTAATATACCGATGACGTATTCTCGCTTCAGAAATAGCAATGCCACTGGTCAACTCAAGGTCAGAATTTTGTAGGCAACCTACTTCCTTAGCAATCTTGTATGTTGCATACCTACTGACTTAGATCAATTGGAAACTATTTTTGATTTTATTTTATCCATTGTAACAAATGAACATTTACATACATTAGCCTTTGACTAATCGAATCATAACTACAATTGCATACAGAGCCTAATCATAGTTGCATTAGTTGGACTTCTATTATATATATCGGTGGTCGTCGGTCGATATATTTTTCCTCGATTGAAACATCGGTGCACATCTGAGTTTGACATGGTGGACGCTCGTTAATCATGTTTAATTTCGCTCACTGGTTTTATGTTCCAGGCAGGCCAAAAGTCATCGCTGATGTTAAAATATACTAACTAGTTTACAACGCGCCTCGCCATACGACCGTAATCATTAATTGCATTCTAATTGGATCCTATTCAGCGAATTCTATTAAAGTCCATTCGACGATACATAAAATTTTAATTGTATTCGCAAGTTTTATTGTTCGTCTTATTTTGCGGTAGGAACTGCCTCATATAAAAATATATCACGTAAAAGCAATCGTTTCGAAGATGAAATAATGACACGCATAACTTTACAGCCAGCTTTCCAGTAAAAACTCCAAATTAATGCGTAGTATTTTCTTAAATCTGTAAGTGAATACTGAATACATCTGTTTTGTGCTGAATACCTACCTACTTATAATAAATATTTTAAGTCAGGCTACTAAAAAAATCGTAATTTTTTTTAGACGAAAAATAGTAAAAAGAAATAAACTATAAATAAACCTACTTTAATTCAACTGACTAATATCATTTTAATAATATGTTGTCATACTATAACTTTTTCTATTGCAACTTCAATTTTTTTATACATGACGTTTGATCTCTTGATTATTTGATTTGGCTTTCTATTATTGGTAGGAAAATATCATAAAAACAAACACATATTCTAATAAAAAGCGTTTAATAAAAATGATGTTTTATAATTATATTATAAATAAATAATAGAGAACATAATAAATTAGAAATAAATTTTTCCCCTAGCATATAATTTGTACAAAATGAACACTGCAGCTACCTACTGCAAAATCACACTTAAATCTACATCTCACTTTCTATTCCTATCTATTATGGCTTAATACTGTGGGCATCTGTTTTAGAAATTTGCGATAGTGTTGTTGGACTTTAAAATACACCTGAAAAAAAACAACATAATATAAACGTGCTTTCAAAGTATCTAATCGAGAATAATTTAAGGGGCTATTACACTCGATGGAAAATCCTACGAAAAGCTGTTCATACGAAATATCTTACTCTGACAAATCATACGGACCAATAAGTAGAATTCGTGAGTGTTTCTAGTAGGATTGGACTTTGTTTTCAATAATTTTGTCACTACTAACTTGATTATTTTATTATATAAATAAATAGCAAATGCTTAGCTCTGGTTGGTATAAATCGTCATAGTGATGTTTGTGATATTCAAGTTTTAGGAACATCGGGCAATATGGAGGTACATAATTAATAACTACAAATGAGAACATATTGAATCAATTTTATTTTAGATACTTAGATTTTGACTACAATGAAAAAAATTGTGGAAATTCACATCGGAATTTTACATATTTATAGTGGTTTTTATATACAAAAAAATGCAAATGAATTGAACTTACACGATACATTGTGTAGAATTACACGTTTGAGTGTACTTTTGTACTTTTACGTTTTAAAATGTATTATTCCTAATCCTTTATTGTTTTTACTATAATTTCATGTATATATACGAGGAAAAGCATGAATTTACGCGACCTGATTTGGTTCAACCAATCAGATGAATCACGTGATCATCCGGTGTGGTGTTACTGCACGTGTGTGGAGAATTGTACTAGTTGTTCAGTAGGCATGTTTAGATTCATTTGTGGCGTCATAATAAGCACAGTGTTTTAACTGCATAAATATAATGTTATAAATAAATGCTGGGGTGAGTTAAATAATATAACTTTGTGTAAATTACATCTATAAATCTTTCGGTATATCTTCATTTTCAAGTAATTTCAGGTGGGGTCCGGATACTTTTGAAATTTTTTAACGAGGTCCAGAAAAAAATTCATATTTCTTACTAATTTTTTATTTTCATTTGCATTAAGAACTCAAAACACACAATTGTAAAATACCTACTAGAAAAAATGATAAGGGTGGCACTCAAACGTAAAAAAATATTTTTTAAATAATTTATTTGAGCAATTTATATTTTCAAAAAATTTTTGGCGGTCCAGTATTTTACCTTCCGCGGTCCGGATCTGGACCGCGGTCCGCCAGTTTCCGACCCTTGCTCTAGAGAATATGTGTCACTGCATTAATTAATCTTAAATTTATTTGATGTTATTTTCCCTTCACTTAAGTATGTCGTAATCTATATTGGAAAAATATTTAAGTATGAAAAAAAAGATATTCTTTCTAAAACATTACAAAATAATGTCTAGATTTTTTTTCTTCTTCAAAATACCATGTAGTTTTCCTGTTTCTTAGTAAAATTACGCTTTATTTGTCGTAAATATTACATACATCGATAATGTAAATTTACATTTAGGGCGAATTACTTAAAAAGTGTAAAATTACATACTTGTGTGACTTAATTTTACATTATCCCTATTGTATAACCAATGATCTGGTGTGTAATTTTACAAAAAAAATCTATATGCGTACGAAGTGGAAAACGAACTCTTTTACAGCAAGGACAATCTGTTAAAAACTCATATGATTTCGTACGAANGAGAACATATTGAATCAATTTTATTTTACTTAGATTTTGACTACAATGATAAAAATTGTGGAAATTCACATCGGAATTTTACATATTTATAGTGGTTTTTATATACAAAAAAAGCAAATGAATTGAACTTACACGATACATTGTGTAGAATTACCCGTTTGAGTGTACTTTTGTACTTTTAGTAAAAATATTTAAGTATGAAAAAAAAGATATTCTGTCTAAAATATTACAAAATAATGTCTAGATTTTTTTTTCTTAAAAATACAATGTAGTTTTCCTGTTTCTTAGTAAAATTACACTTTATTTGTCGTAAATATTACATATATCGATAACGTAAATTTACAATTAGGGCGAATTACTTAAAAAGTGTAAAATTACATACTTATGTGTTATGATCTAGTGTGTAATTTTACAAAAAAAATCTATATGCGTACGAAGTGGAAAACGAACTCTTTTACAGCAAGGACAATCTGTTAAAAACTCATATGATTTCGTACGAACATATTTTCGTACATATTCGAATACAGTATGTACCAAATTATGTACAGGAAAATTCTAACTTCCACCAGCTAATCTAAAAAATGTTATACTCAGATTTACTTCGTTCGCGACTTCCATAGTCTAAATTTGTTTAGTGCACATATCTTACTGCTTGCTTCCAAATGTTCAGAGAATATTTGTTTGATTGGCTAGAATTTACTATTCCGTGAATTGAACGCATTTGATTGTTAACAACATGAAGCGTATACAGCTCTCGCTCATTTTGATGTTGATTTTGATTAAACCGCATGAATTTCTGTTTGATTTGGTTACTTTTCAATGATACCTCTATATAATTTCAGATGATTTGTGATTAACAGGAAGTAATTTATTACTTCTTTCTTAAAGTGAACACCTGTGTCCTGTACAGGTGGCTACTCAAAAATACCTACAAATTAGGATGTTTGTCAACATATAAAGTGCAGTTAAGGAAGTATGTAGATGAAACTCTTTCTTTTTGGAATAATTCTCTGCCAATGTGTTAAGAAACTCACTAAAGGAAAACAAGTAAAATTACATGCACAGGAGAAACATAAGTACTATTCTCATATTTTCGTGTGTATTTTGGACTGAATGCGGTTTTATACAATACTTACCCTCGCAAGTGGCTGAACATGCCTTCTGGGTCATGAAGTTGTTAGCATTTCCATTGCATCCCCCATATTTAAATTCGACGCATTTTCCTATTGATGGGTCGTATCTCCATCTTGGCAAGAGAGCTCTGCAATAGCCTTTGACCATTGGAAGTTTACAAGCTACTTGAGGATCATCTAAAATTGAAATTAGTGTTAAACTGATGTTTTGGTATTAAACTGATGATGCTTAATATGTGTAACTTTTTTTAATATTACCTCTTGTATATTTATATTATTTTAAAGATATTAATCTATTTCAAACAAATTCATTTTTTTTTTCTTATCAATTGAAGACAAATAATAATGTTTCTCGATATAAAAAATCTAGGTTTGCAAAAGAATATTTAGAAAAATGAAGTAAAAATAAACTTATACAATTCTGTATTTGTTATATATTTTGAACACAGAGGAAATACAGGGTGTCCCAGAATATCGTGTACAACGGAAGACCATAGATTCGTGGACTCAAAATAGACAGATTTAGGCTAATTTACCAATATCCAAAGTTCGTGAAAATTTTTTGAATTTTGTAAATGACGAATACGTATTATTCGATTTCGATTATTTTTGGAGTGTGGACTTTCGTTTTCAATCTACACATGTAGGTGTTATACAGAGTGTTTTTTTTAAACTTACAACTCCTACAAAATTGATATATTGTGGTATGATCCGTTCATAACTTTTCCTCTTTCGGGCAATACTGACAACTATTTTTTATTTGATAGGTGATATCATTTGGAAGTTTCTGGGGTCCCTTGTAGAATTTTAATTAAATGAGCAGTTTGGGTACAAAGAAATATTTTTTAAATGCCATTATCTTGCCACCCATATTACAATACTTAACAAAGTGCTAGTAGGGTATGATTTTGTAGGTTGACTATAATTTCAGTTTGATCTTTAAATCATTGTACCTGCAAATTCTTGTTGTTGTAGACGTTATTCTGGAACACCCTGTATATACCATTTTGATTTACGTTACGCAGATATTATTAGGTATTTTGCTTTGAATTTTTGCAAATTGGGTTTAGAAATTATTTTAAAAAATATTGTAGTCACAAACAAGTAAATAAAATCGCTATAATCTCTATAATAATTCCAGAAATATTTATAATTTGTTAATTTTGTTTCCCCGCAAATTTGGGTCATTAGAATCCGGTTGACCCCCGTATACGATATTATTAATAATACAACTTTTTGACATTTTAAACTCCAGAACATACTCCCGTGCTTTGGGATTCATTAATTACGGATACTAAAGTGGAAGGGCATTCTTTCGTTTTATAAATTAATCTACGTCAAAAGATTAATTAAAACAGACAGTTTTTATATATCGTGATCTATTTCCTTACATATTTGCGGTTAATTTGTAATCAAAATTTGGGATTTTCAGGCTGAAAATATCCGTTTATAATAAATAATGCAGTCATTGTTTATAATTTGTATGTATAAGGTTCCTTTCCTCAATATCTGGATAGATAGATAGTCAGTTGCTGCATAAAAAAGGTAGGTAACAATTATTATTTTTAATCGAAAAGTCACTTTTGTATCTAATAAGTCATAAGAAACTCCTCACTTCAGCTCATATGAGTAGAAAAATTATAAAATATTTGTCACTTCTGAAATATGTCGCAATTTTTTTTCCATAGGAAGCACAGTACGGTTGGTGGATTTCTCCAACAATTTCTTATAATATCGGTATCCTTTTTTTACAGTGCTTTAGCTTCTTTCTTTAAAAACATAAATTACTTGCTAAACCTAAATTTATTTTAGTTAAATTTTTTGTAAACTACATTTAGCGCTCTTTGTATAGAAGAAAACCTCTCCAAATGGAAAATATTAGACCGCCAACTATTCTAACAAAAACCTTTCATTTAGGATAAAACACGCAAAAGTGCTGGAAATTGACTTTCGATTTGTAATTGGACGTCATTAATTTGAGATATCAGGAATTTAACATTATAGAGAGAAAATCTAGGAATAACATAATCTGGACAGATTTTTTAATGTTAAAACTTAATCACAGCATATAGAATTCTACAAATTCTACGGATTCTAGATTCTTGTATATTATAGAAGACAAAATAACCTAACGTAACTCTGTTATACAGGGTGTCCCGTTCATGTTTAAAAAAAACTTGTGTGCAAGTTCCTCATAGTAAAATAATAGGGGTAGTTCATATAAAGTTGTTTTCTTAGCCGCCCTGTTTTCGAGATACAGTGTGTTGAAGTTGTTACTTTCCAAATGGTTTTCCTTAATTATTATCTTTAAATCGGCTAAAGATAAAAGTGTCTAAATTTGTAAACGAGTAAACATCAACTGTGCGTTAAGATAAATGTGTAAACGGTTTCTTTCTGATAAGCAGTGACGCCGATACAAGTAATTGAAGGGGTACAATCGAAGAAAAAATATGTTAAAAGTCAAAATTTTTCACGTTGCTAAACGGTTCGGTAAACTACATTAACGAAATATTAAATTGAAAGAGGACCTTACCATTGAATGAGCTAAAGACATTTAGCTACCAACAGTATTTGCATTTAAGACTATAATTTTAATTTCTTACGTATCACATGAAACAGTTAAATTGTATAACATTTTATTAACTAAAAAAAATTTAAATTTATTTTAAGTTTCAGTTTGTTGTAAACTAACATTTAAAAGAGTACATTAAAATCAACAGATTATAGTAATTAATTATCTATTATTAACTAATTTTACATTTTGTAAACTACTACACTGCCATTACTAAAATAAACAACTGTTGAATGGACTGAATTGTTGATGTACATGAATGCTTAAAAAAAGTGATAAAAACAGAAAAATATTAGAAAACAGACTCGGAGACTTACAGAACGAAACAGCTGGACAATTAAATAGATGTGCAAACTCAAAATACCACAGTAGATATTGAAATTGTCCCCCATTTCCTTCTATGCAACTTCACATTTCTCGAAAATGGTACATGCTACCGAATTTCGACAAGTATACCTTTTTTTGTATGATGCTTTAGAATTTACAGAACCGTTTAGAAATGTAATAAATGTTGACTTATAACATATATATTTTTTTTCGATTATACCCCTCTAATTACCTATATCGCCGACACTGCTTTTCAGAAAGAAACCGTTTGCACATTATTCTTAACGCACAGTTGATGTTTACTCGTGTACAAATTTTGACATTTTTATTTTTAGCTGATTTAAAGATAATTAAGGAAAACCATTTGGAAAGTAACAACTTCAACACACTGTATCTCGAAAACAGGGCGTCTAAGAAAAAAACTTTCCATGATCTACACCTATTATTTTTCCATGAGGAACTTGCACACTATTTTTTTTGAAACATGAACGGGACAGCCTGTATATTAAACAAAAAAACCTTAATTAATCTGCCCTAATATAACTTTATCTCGAAATTTATCTATTTAGTTATGTCAGGTCAGGTTAAGTTTTCCTTTAAATGTATTAATTTACTCTAACCTACCTAACTTTATGTAGGAATTTATGTAAAAAATCATTGAGATAGGTAACTGATGCAATTGAATTATATTGGTTCTAAGAGAATCCATAAGAACGAATTATGTATTAATTCGGAAATACGGAAAAGAGAAATTGTAAAATGTAAAAAGAGCGAATTCCCGAGCGGCGTTTGTCTGACTCTAAGACAATTTTTTTATAACACTGTTTCAGGTTTTTGTTTTTCTTTTTAGATACGTTTCTTTGGATCAATAAGAACCTATATCTGCGATATTAACTTCTAAAATTAACGTTTAGTAACATAAAGTAATGTTTATTAATAATTTTTTTAAGTTTTCAGGGTGTATGATCTAATTCGACTGGTCTAGTATTATTAAAAGCATACTTATCCCAGTTCTGGTCACATATTTAAAATCATACCTATCAATTATAATTATGTTCCTGTCTTTTCCTAAAGTAACATTTGAAAACTGCATTATTAATAGCCAAAATGTTAATCATATTAATATCATATTAATGTTAATCATATTTTGGCAATATGTCATCTGTAAAAAATTTCAAAACTAGGTATGACAGATAAATTTCCGATAGTGTAGATACAATGCAAATAACGATTATTTTTGCACGAATGTAAGAAATTAACTAGTTATTTTGAAAATTTCCATGTTGCTTGATTTCGAAACTTACCCTTTGCCGCTGGTCTGCATAAAGCCACAGCCAAAGTGGCGAGGATCACAACAATAACCAGTTTACTCATCGTTTCCACTGTGGTTTTTCCTGCCTCTAAAACGTCGGCACGCACTCACCGTCTCTGAAATTTCTCTGAGGTACGGTTGATTACTGAATGAAATCCAAATTGGCGGGCCGGTATATAAAGTGTCGTAGCGAGGTGTTACGTTATATCCTACGTGATTACCAGGTGAAATGGAATTACCTACGTCAAGCATCATACTCCTACCACCACCAGCTTTGTTTCGAGCTTCCAGACTAGTCGGCAGTTCAGTGCACCCCCTTTATTTACAAATATGATACGGCTTGAATACTGATGACTTGTGTGCTGGTGCCGCTGACACGCTGAACCAGTTGCGATACTGTAATTGCATGTTTGTACAGGGTGGTTGTTTGCTGGCATGCCAATTACGTTTTTACGCTGTTTAATTTCACCCTCAGCAATTATGTAAAAAAGGAGTTGTTATCGGGGTGTCATGCCGGACTATGCGAAATTCGTTTCTTTATACGCTACCGGAAAAAAATTATGGAACAAAACATTATTTTCATGAATTTGTTAGTGATTTTCGAAATGTTGTATTTCAGTGAAAAATGGTCTTATCGACATAAACAAAAAAGTGTTTTGATGCTTGAAGTCTCTAGATCTTTCGATAAAACATTTTTTGAGCAACGGTTATCGAGCTATTAAAAGAAATAACTCGAGAAAATAATTTCTCAACATTTTTTTTAGGACTGTTCATGAACTCACGAAAATTTTTTCGAACTCAATCAATACAGAGGTCAGTTAGCTTATTTATTCAGCTTCAATTTGATTTCTGAAAGGGCTCCGTGTAACTGTTGGTTGCCGAGATATCGATGGTTGAAAAAAAATAACACTTTTATCTTTAATCATCGATATCTCTGCAAAAAACTATGGTACAGTAAATCCAATAGCGTTTTTGAACACTTGAATATTAGGCTATTGATTATATCCAAAAAACAGGGTTAAAAGGAACTAAGATGTTCAAGCAATTTTATTGCATGAATCGTTCAAAGGGTCATTTTAGATTAAAAAACCGTGGAGTGCTATTAAATTAGAGGGTGGAAATTGGAGATAGGGGTGAAAATGCACCCCCTTCAGTTTTTTAATTGTAACTCGAAAACGAAGCAAAATTTCGCTATAGTTCATAGGAAAAATTATTTAGAGAATTGAATTTCCCATCGAAATGGCTTATTTAAAAAATCTAAAAGGAAAATTTTATGCAAAAAACTGCAATAGTGCATTTTCACCCCTGTCTTCAATTTCAATCCTCTAATTTAATAGCACCCCGCAGTTTTTTCATTTTTAATGACCCTTTGAATAAGTCTTGTGATGAAAATCCTTGAACGTCTTATTTCCTTCCTTTTTTGCGAAAATGAGAATTAAAACACATAATGGTAAACGCGACGAAAATCGAAAAATTGGCTAATTGTAAGTTTGAGCGGCCATATCAGTCAATTTTTATGCAAAAATACTTTACAACCGCTTATTTTGAAGGAAATTTACTTCTTTTTTTAAGAAGCAATGCCTATAGGTACCTATCTTTACTCAAAATCGATTTTTTGCGTTTTTTTTCAAATTGTGTATTAACGATTTTTTGCATATAATTTTCCTTTTAAATTTTTTAAATAAGCCAATTCGATGGGAAATTCAATTCTCTAAATAATTTTTCCTATGAACTATAGCGAAATTTTGCTTCGTTTTAGAGCTACAATTAAAAAACTGAAAGGGGTGCATTTTCACCCCTATCTCCGATTTCCAACCTTTAATAGCACTCCGCGGTTTTTTCATTTAAAATAACTATTTGAACGATTCATGTAATAAAATATCTTGAATGTCATAGTTCCTTTTAAAATCCTATAATCGATAGCCTATATATTCTTTACAAGGATTTGGTTTACGAAGAAATTTTTGTTTTTCATGCTTGACATCAACTTGAAAAAAGTACAAAAAATGACTTTTCGTCTAAAAAATTTGAAATTCGAGATTTAAACCTTCAAAATGCTTTTTTGTTTACCTCGACAAGACCACTTTTCACTGAGATACTCGAAAATCACTAACAATTCTTTGCACCTTTAATTTTTTCCATTGGTGTATATAAAATTTAAAACAAAACTTCTTTCAGTTGTCTAATGCGATATTTGAACAATGAAGTTCATGTACTTTATTGTTATCTGTGTTTGGAAATAATTACAAATTTGCATAAACTGTATAATAAAAAAACAAGCAAATTCGTAGACTACATACAACTACAAAAAGTTTTTCCAATAATATCTTTATTTTAATATACCTACATGTTACAATTTCGTTAAGATTTTGTCACGCCAATTTTTCGTTATTTTATGAAGTTTGTGAATTCAAAACCATACAAATTGTAAATGATAACATATTTGCCTTACTAAACAGCAGAATATATGTTTATCATCACATTTAAAATACAGAATACAAAATTCAGTAGCAGAATGTTGACGAGTGTATTTAGAAAAATTAAATAGATGATAGTAACTGTCAAAAAACGACATGTTGCACCGAGAATCTGATTTTAGATTTGAATAAAGTAGAAAAAATTACTTTACTCTCTACTACTGATGGTTTCCAAGATAGGTACTACAGGATTGAATTTGAAACACTCTGAATAGGGTGATCGACTTTTTGAGATTACAGGGTACAGGTTAAACAGTGGTAATTAGAAAATATACAGATGTAGATGTTCTGTATTCGTTTGCTGAGCAAACATATCCTGGCTGACTTGATTGGTGTTTGATATACAGAAGGATCTCTTGAATTTCTATTAGTCCCTACATTTCGGTTGTTATAAGAAATATTTAAAAATGTTTAAAGATTTTCCATAGAAAACGGTCGAGCAGATAGGTACTCTATTTTTTCAATTTTGGTATAAATGCTGTATAGTAGAAAGTACATATTTAACAGAATACCTCGTCAATGTTTAGGTATCGGATTTCACTTACCTTTCCAATAATACAGCGAGTTTACAAACTTGAAGAAGATAACATTTGAATAGTAAATATTGACAGAAATCTCTTTGCTAATACTAACTTACCACGGTTATACGAAGAAACATTTCTAGAACTGCTGATTCAATCGATAGCTCAGCATTGTATTGATGCGTCATTTGACAATGTTTATTCATGCTTATTACACACATATCACAGACAAACTATCTTTTCCAAAAAATGAAACCAGAAAAGTAAGAATCTAGAAAAATAAACTCTTTTTCACTTTTGATTTTGTTTGAAACTGACACAATAAAAGACACACTTTATTTGCTATAATAAAAACTGAAGTAAAATTGATTGTTACTTAAAATTTAACTAATTTTTTTTCCTGTTTTCTGCAAAAAACGATGGTGTGCTAGTTACAGTCACAATTTCTGACCACTTTTTCATGTAGGAGACGATTTCAGAGGTTCCCAACAAGTTTTAATAATTTTCATTTTATTTAATTTAAAAGGCTGTTTTGTATTTTCACCGATTTTGATTACTGACGATGCTTATTATTAAAGAGTACACTTACAATTAACAGAATTCATTCGAAATTTGTAAACATCCTGTATAGCACAGCATATATATCATTAAGCCACCTTGTATACTATACGAAATTATTGAGAGACGTGTTAAATTATTATTAGTACTGAAATTATTACTCATATTCTTGAAAGCATTGGATTGAATATAAAATTACGATTTTCAGTGAAATTTCTCAAGTTAAAACGAAAATATCTGCCTCACGGATCTAGCTGGATATTCCGTACCAATTTTGCAAAACTTAATATGGGTTCCGCGTCAGTGGTATTGCATAATATTCAAATCAGATTCAACTTATGTGAATGAACTTCTGTTCTAATTGCACCACTACCATTCTAACGGACAAACAAACTTGATGAAGAAATTTAAAATATTCTAAAACTCCGGCACTAAAAACTGTTTCGTTTTTATAGCATGCCACTGCAATTTTTTTTATTAATATTGGATGACTATTTTTTGAAGATTTTCTACAGCTATAATTTAGTTCCATCATAACTATATGGCGGTAAAATATTTCCCAATAAAGATTGCAGACGTGATGTTTATATAAATAATAGGTATTTCTACATTTTTTAGAATTCTATACATTTCCATTTTAGGATCGAGTTGATTAGCACTTCTTGGTATGATTGGTTTTCCGGTGTTGTCATATAAATTATTTCTTAGTATTTCGTGAGAAAAGTACATACATCAGTTATATCCTTCTTCATGTGTCGACTAAATAACGTTATCAATCTTATCTAAATAAGTTCAGTAAATTTTTACTGTACAGAGTTAAACTGCAAACGTTTTAAAATAATACGTTTATAGAATACATTTTTCTCTCCGAAATATGTTTACTTATGCCGTGTGAAATACTAAAAATATTCGTAATACGGATGAAGTTGAAATGAGGGAAAACTTTTTTATTTGTCATTTTATGGAAAAAGTAGTTCTTGGTTAAAAAATGCTGCTTAGGCTTAATCGCTAAGAAAACATAAATCTATTACTATATTGACAAATAAACTGTCAAAACAACTAAAACGAAAAGTAAAAAAGAAGACGAAAACAGATAGATTTTCGAAAAGTCAACAACTTTTTTAAATGCGCGAAACAAAGTGATGTATTTTTTGTTCTATATTTTGTATTTGCCTGCTTCACCTCAACCCCTTGCAGCTCTTCAGCACCAAAGACTTTATGTCTTAACCTCCCAAAGGCTGCACAGTGTCCCAGAAGGTGGATAGGGGTGTCCTCCCCTACTCCACATTTCGTACATAAAGGGTCCTCCTCAATTCCTATTAAACTTAAATGCCTCCTAAGTCTGCAGTGGCCTGTCAGAACCCCCATCATTTGGTTTAGGGCTTTTCGACTGAGGCTCAGCAGCCATCTCGTCTTAGGTTTGCTAGGTCCATGTATAAAACTATGGGTCTGCCTACATTCTCTGTTCCTCCTCCAGTTTTGACCTAAAGTTTGATAGGCCCATTTATTAAGGGCCCCGTTAATACTACTTCGTGTGATTCCGAGGCCCCATTCAGTGCCCAGGCCAGGTTTCCTAGATCCAAGACGAACCAGTTGATCAGCCCTCTTTT